CTCCCAAGTACACATAGTCTGAAAAAAATTGAATAATGTTAATTAAATCGATAGTAAAAAAAAGTAAAGTATACTAAACTTAACTAAAAAATATATACCTTAAAGTTATTAAACATCGCCTGGCGTATACTGTTTGGAATCTTGCTCCAAGAGTGATAAGCTTGTGTATAGAGTCTTCTAACACACTCTTTTAAAGCCCGGGCAGCATCCTTTGCAGGATGCCACCTGCAAAACACATAATAAATATGTTAGTTCATGAATAATATATTAAAGTATAAGAAATAAATAAAATAAACTAACAAATAGATAACAAAACAAACTTACGATGATCCATCCGGCTCAATCATGACTATACCAAGTCTGTCCTTCTGTCCTGGAGCTAGAGTAGACATCGTATCATATGGTGTAGCACTTGATTTGTTAAACTACTCGAGGAATATATATATATAATTAATCAACGTATTTCATACTCCGATGAAGTATCATTTACATGTCATCATAATTAGGAGGTGATCACTACACTTGACATCCATTCAAGATCGAACGTATATAATAATACTATCTCGCATTTCATACTGGAATGAATTATATGTTAGCTCTTCACTTCTGCTACATCACGACATGAGATATTAAGTTTATGATTAGACGACGAACTGATAGGATTTGTACATTACTCTATAAATATAAGTATAATTATCTCCTAATTCATATCAACGTAGTTTCATACTCTAAATATGGATTATAGATATTTTTTTATTTATTCCACGAATTCTAACTTTTTATTTATAAAAGTATACAAAATTGTTACACTTTTTGAACAATTAATCGTAGGTGTAAAATGAAAATTTAATATTATGCACAATAGCAAAATTATGATTAATAGAAATATTTTAAACATACCGACCTCCGGATGTCGCTTTTATTAAAAGTAATTAGATATAATAAAAAATACCGACCTCATGAGGTCGGTATCACATTAAATTTTAAGATAAATAAAAATTAATCATGTTAATTAAATAATATTGACATCGGGAGGTCGGTATTTTATATTAAATTATTTTTTAACTTATATAAAACCGTCATTCGGTTTATTTAAAGTTAATTGAAAATATTAATTTATTACATACTATTTAATTTTACCGACATCTGAAAGTCGGTATTATAATTTTTTTTGTTTTTTATTTTACACAAAACCATTCTCCGGAAGACGATTTAAATAATTTAAATCAAAATATTTCTCAATTTTATTTTTTATATGATTAAACTTTAAAGTACTAAAAAGTGTTGGAGAATTTATTAATTTCCTCATTTCTCATATTGTGATGGCTTTGGTACCTTAGACTTGAAGAAAACTCTTTTTTCTTTCTAAAGAAGTACAGTCGAAATCATGAATTTTTATAATTAAAAAAATTGTGTCAAAAGTTGGTGGGAAAGTCTAAAGACACATGCCTATTACATTTCAAAGGAGGAAAGGTGAAGAATATAAAAGACATAAAATAAAACGAAAAGGAATATATATATATATGGAGAGGCTCAACGGAATTGGTGGCCTAAACTCAAATTTTAATTAGAGATTTCAAGTGTATATTCAATAAAATTAGCTTCTGTGAGCATCACGTATCTCTCACTACTAAAAAACTGCTAAAAAACGATAGAAGAAAAAGCGACGGACTAAGAGATGCCGTCCGTCGCTTATTTTAAAAACTAATTAATAAAATAAAATAAATTAAAACGACGGACAGCGCAGTTATTATTTAATTTATAAATAATTATTTTTAATAAAAAGAGACGGACTAAGAGATGCAGTCCGGCGCTTTTTGGTAAAAAATTTTAAAAATAATTATTTTAATTAAAAAGCGACGGATGGCATCTCTTAGTCCGTCGCTTTTTCTTCTATCGTTTTTTAGCAGTTTTTTAGTAGTGAGAGATACGTGATGCTCACAGAAGCTAATTTTATTGAATATACACTTGAAATCTCTAATTAAAATTTGAGTTTAGGCCACCAATTCCGTTGAGCCTCTCCATATATATATATATTCCTTTTCGTTTTATTTTATGTCTTTTATATTCTTCACCTTTCCTCCTTTGAAATGTAATAGGCATGTGTCTTTAGACTTTCCCACCAACTTTTGACACAATTTTTTTAATTATAAAAATTCATGATTTCGACTGTACTTCTTTAGAAAGAAAAAAGAGTTTTCTTCAAGTCTAAGGTACCAAAGCCATCACAATATGAGAAATGAGGAAATTAATAAATTCTCCAACACTTTTTAGTACTTTAAAGTTTAAACACTAAATAAAGTTTTATTTTGACATTTGGTAAAATATATCATTTCACCCCTAGTGGCTTTATGCTTTTTCTCTCAACCAAGTGCAATTTTTTTTCATAATACGTTGCATGGTGCATGCAACTTAAAAAAAAATAATATTAAAGAATAAGAATTACTACATGTAAAATGTTAGTAAAATATTATTTATTGTCTTATTGACCATCTTATTAGAAGTTCTAGATCAACAATCAACCATTTTACTTATACAATATTTCATACATCACAATATCTATAAATTTCATCGTATTTTCTCCTTTCTTAACTGAAAGCACTCAACACACGTCAACGAACACATATATTATATATATTATGTATCTAGACACATAATATATGTTGCGCGTGTGCCCCCATTTGAGATCTAAATTAGGTCAAGAAGAAGGGCCTCCATTATTTATTGACATTTTTTTTTTCTTTTTGTAAAGTTGGACCCTTAGGGTTGCATGACATTTAAATAACATATCTTATACCAATCTTATTAAAAGTTATTAAATTAGGCAACTTCTGCAGGACATGTCAAAGGGAGAGGCATTATATTGTCTCTTATAACCCTCAAATTACCAAATTGAACAATACAAGAACTAAAAGTTCAATTAAAAAATTAAATCATGTATGTCGCTAATTAATACTCACCTGATGGATATTTATTGTTTTATGGACCAGATATATTCTCATTTGCACTACATTATTTTATGTTTATAGCCAACAGATTGAATATATGTTCCATGTTCATATATACCTAGGCCCTAGACTTAATTGATAAGTCCATAACTAGGGATGTTAATCATTTATTAGGGTGAAGATTAATTAGCCAATCTTATTTAATTGGAGTTAATTAGTTTAATCTAGATTCTAGACTAGGGATAGGTTATCACAGCTGTATAGTTGTACAAGCACATGATATCCACATGAAATTGTTGATTAAATTACCATATATATATATATATATATATATTCAGAGGCGAATTGAAAGTTAAACATTGGGAATTCTAAAGATTCCCTAGGGGAAAAATAGAGATGTCTCCTATGTTACCCATAATATGTGAAAGTATCGACGTAATTTCATAGAGTTATTCGGTCTGAATGCTACATGAAGAACATAAGCCAGATGACGGAACGGGAAGACCCAGGATGGCTTTTTTACCCCATTGTAGGGTGGATCTCGAAAGATATGAAAGATCTCCCTCCAAGCCGTACATACGACTTTCATCGGCTATATATATATAAAGTAAAATAGAATGACGGGGCTTGAAAAATAATACTTCCCTCTGTCCCTTATTACTTGTCCACTTTTGAATTGACACACCTATTACGAAAACAATTATTAACATAGCGAGTTTACTATTTTACCCCTATTAATTATGAAGTGAATGAATTAAAAACTTAAGTTTTCAAGAAGTTCTACTTTTTTCAAAGTAATTAATTGATGATATAATAGGTAAAAAAAATTGTCCTTTCTTGATTTGTCAAAATTGACAAGTAATTAAGGACAACTATAAAAAGAAAAGTGGACAAGTAATTAGGAACAGAGGGAGTACTACAAATTATTGGAAATAGAAGAAATACTACTAAAAACAATACAAAAAATCAACGGACAAGAGCGGTCCAAAAAAGAAAAATCTAGAAATTGATCTTGTCGGTTAATTTTTTTTTTTTCAAAGAAGATTGATGGACGTTTATTTTCTCGCACAAAAATGCGTGAAAATCAAATTGATTAGAAAGAGTTGTTCGGATGGTAAGCATTTCTCACCTTCAACACGAAAGTTGTGAGTTTGAGTCACCAAGGAAGCAAAACGGTGGAAATGGAAGCCCCTGAGGTCGATTCTAAATAGATATAAAATTGAGTATATACCGTCCGTCGGTTTTACGCCTATAAAGCTTAATTGACGATACAAGATTATGTAGGCCACAATTTGAATTGACATAAAATGATAAATGTCACTAAATTGCGACTCTGCTTCACTAGCTAGTCAAAGTAATTAAGAAAGACAAGTTAGATTATGTGACCTAACAATTATAAAGCTGTCCACCCACATTGGATGGACAATTATGTGTTGGAAGCATATATTATATACATAATAAAATTGTCTAACCTATAGTGGTATATTATAAGCAATTATTCAACAGAATATTTTGCAGTATAGTTTGAAGTCTCCAAATTTTGCCCATCATTCAGATATAAGTGGATTTACACGATAAAGTTATAGCTACTTGCATTATATCAATGATTAGTGAATAGTCATGTCATTTTTTTTCTTTTTTTTCAAAATGAATGATTGACCCCAAGAATCAGACATGGGGTTAATTACATTTCTCTAAAGAATATTTTTATTTTGGCAATGGGAAATAATAATAACATAGTATTCTCCTTTTAATTTGGTTACTTAGACATTGAAAAACTGAATTATGAAATTGTGAGATAGAATTTTTGAATTGAATTAATATGTGCCAAATTGAATAAGCATGAATAATGGATCCATGGATGAAGATAGAAAGTTGAATTCTAATTGTAACTAAATTTTCAATTTCTTATTTGTAAAGAAGAAAGTGAAATAAAATAACTATATTAAATAATGATTTTGATTTACCAGAGATATCAACATATTGTTTTAGCTTGGTGGAAAACAAAATCGTTTTCCTCAGGATACTATAAATTAGAAATAATAGAGAACAAAAATAATTAGAAAGATTTTTAAAATGATCATCTACAAAGCCATTCATTTTTATCTTTATTCATACCAAAAAATGACATAGATGTTATGAGTAGATCCCCTTGCTCGTACTTATTCCTATTGATATTTTTTTATGTAAAATAAAAGACCGCTAGACACTGTCTAGTAGGCTTAAAAAAAACAAAAAAAACATGATGAAGTTGTTATGATTAATTAAAAAAAATCAAAAATCATAACAACATCGGACCAATTTGACATATTATTTGAGATCCTTGACAATATTTAAAGATTTTCGTGTTGAACTTCTTTTTCTCGAAACGGTTGCTAAATATTTTTTCACCAGATACATTTAAATTTAGGAAAAGACTCAAATATGTTATTAAACTTTGGAAAAAAGTTCATCTATATTATTCGTTAAAAAATTGTCTCATTTATGCCATTTCGTTTGAATAGTTGTGCAAAATCAAAACTATTTTCAATTGATAAATAATGACATAAATGAGTCTTTTCTCAAATGAAAATGATACAGATCGATGAACCAAACCTAACGGAAAGCCATAGATGAACTTTATCTCAAAATTCGATGACACATTTAAACATTTTCCATAAATTTTAAAAAAGAGAAACTGAAAAAACTTTCTCTAATGCAGTTTGACAGGAGGTACACTATTCTCGAGTTTTACAATACTCGATAGGAATCGAATTTCACTTTCCAAATTCCGATTCCCCATTTTTTTTTCCGGTTTCTCATTCAGTGTTGATACTCACATTAATGATTATTAAATTCGAATTCGCCTCGAAAAATCGATAGTAGTGATTATTAAATTTGAATTTGCCTCGAAAAATCGAGAGCCTAACACTATCCCGAGACCTCTGCTCTATCACAGTATAGTAATATATTCAAAAGAAATTACAGATAACTGGAAGGGAAATTGAAATTGAGGCAATTGAAGGTTGCAACGTGTAATTTGAACCAATGGAATATGAATTTCGACTGCAATTTGAGGAACCTGTTATGCTCACGTAAGTTTCTATATGTGCTATGTTAAATATCATTTCTTCGGGTCGTTTTTGTTCTTGGTTAGGAAGTGAATTATTCAGGTATCAAAATCAGCATAATTGGAATCGTGTTTGATAGCATTTTAGTTGTTATGTATCAAATTTTACACACCAAGCACGGTGTTTGGCTACCAGTTTACAATCCCGCACAACTAAAACATGTATTTTATGTAGGGCAGAAGATGGAATAACTAAACTCGACATAACATGCATAACTTTAACAAATAATTGTGTGAATAATCCGGGTAATCCTACTACTTTGCACATATGAATAAATGAATAATTGATTCCACTAGTGTGAGCTTGCTCAAATTGACAGTTTCAAGCTTGAATAAAGGAGGAGAGGGTTGCAGTGGGCTGACAAGTGACAACTGGTGTATAACTTGTCAATTAACCGACCCCAACTCGTTTTGGACTGAGGCGTAGTAGTAATTGTTGTTACTTTGCACATATGAATGTTTGGTTTTGTTGTGGAGTAACAAGACCTATTGATAATATAATATGCTGATTTTTCATTTGAGATGGAAATCAGTTTGTTTTGCCTTGGCCACAACAAGTCAATTATATTGGTGATATCATCAAGGTTTCTCATCATTGAAATACTACTTGATGTTTAAAAAGAAAGACTCACTGATAAGTTGGCATCAGAAAAGAAGTAGAGAGACAGTAAATTATCATTTGAGTTTTTCCCTCCTTTGTAAAGTTTCCATTAACTTGCAGGTGGGAGATTGGACTGATGGCATATTATGTTTATGTAGCTTCAGTATATGTGCCTGTTATCAGATTCAGAACATTACAACTGTCAAATGTTGTGCCTAAACAGGAAAATAGTCATGATAAGGCCAAAGTTGTGGCTAGCAAATGATGGCAACTACCGAGAAATCCGATGGTAAACAAAAATAGCATCTTCAAGGACTGCTAAATGTGCATAGTTTTGGTGATCCTGTTTTTGCCTAAACCAAAAGCAAACCAATTTTTAACAGGCTTTAAAGTTACATATCAAAACCAAACCAAGAGTGTAAAAGAATTGTCTGTTTTGCTTTGTTGGTTCTAAATTGGTGTATTTGAGTTTATCAAGTCTTCATTGTATTTTGCTTTATCATTGTATATCAAGTGATAATGGTTCTTACTTCCCCTTTGGTACTGTCTGGTGTATTCAGCGTTTCTTAATTAAGTTTGCTTAGTGAATTGCTTTCTGTTTCCAGATTAGATACGAGGAGGATATAGCACTTGAACCTTTTGCTGGCTATGGGATTATCTAAGAGTAAGTGGTGCATCTGGATTTTTGCTTCCAGTGTCTGGTGGTGCTGATAGTTCCTTCCTTGTTGCTATAGTTTTTCAATGTGACATCTTGTAGTAAAAGGTTTATTGGATTCTCTTCCCTTCTAAACATCTATATTGTTGAGTTCTAGCTATTTTCCTGTTTTTTTGTAGCTAGAGTATGACAATCACATTGCTGTCATGTAAATAGGTTTCGTTGTAGTTAATGAGAAGAATGAAATTGCAGTGATTATGTTCCCCTATCCGTGTAGTCGCTTGAACCTTTGGTAGTTTCCTACATGAACCAACAGCATCCTTCAGTGAAAAAATGATAGATAATTACTGGTGCTGTTTGATTACTCAAATTATTAACTGGATTCGTATTTGGTGAATTGTTACCGAGAAAACATGGTACGTGTGGAGGTCTGCTTTGTTAAAATGTACTAGTTACTAAAGAATGGTCTCACTTATATAATTTTGGGATTGAACTTCCCATGGTGTAGTTAAACTGAAAATGCTACAGCATGGTCAAATTTTGAGGGGATCCTTGATTTGTCACATTAGTGGTCAGGTTTCCGCTACACATCAGCTAATTTTTCCGTCTGTAGTGTTCTAGAGCTGGCAAGCATTTTTATTATCCTATCCGTGCATGTCCTGTAATACATGTACCCTGTCTTCATTTACGCTATTCTGACTGATAAATTGCATTGAGCTGGTCAGATTGTCTACCTTATTGTTAAAGGTAAAAGTAAACAGCACTTAGCTTTGTTTTCTCTGTAGTTTACTCACCGGTGATGTCAATGCAGAAATTGCAAATGGCGATGAACCGGTAAAAGCTGATGACATTTGAATTGGCTAATACACTGATGGTTAGTTTTCAACGGGAAGCAAAGAATTTGCTGAGCACGTTGTTTATACTGTTTTTACTTTTTATGGGATCTGAAAATAGGCAATAAAATCAGCAAAGTGCCACTATTTTCTCCTTTATCAGATTTTCTATTCTGATTTATAGGTGTTCTCTAATTACAACTGTAGTAATAATTTACTACTTTAAAGTTGCTTTGCTCATTTTCAATTTGCAAATGGCTTTTTTATTGCCTTGCCTTGGGCAGCATATTTCTGGTCCAGAATTGAGAGCCCTTTTAGTAATCTTAATACATGTAGAAAATTTGAACATTGCAAAGATGAGAATTTGGTCATCATGAAATCTCGGCTAGACCTGTTGTGCTACTGCCTGCTAAACCAGTGTTCTCAAAGGCGATCGCCATTGCACCTTTGGCGAGAGGCGAGGCGAGGCAAGGCTAGTCAGACCCTTGTCTCCGTTTGTCGCCTTTCGCCGTCCAAAACACTGTGCTAAACCAAAGCTGACAACCAACCTCATGAATTCTAGGAGTCAACCCTACTTAGATTTTGTTCTTAAATGACATTCATTCTCTAATATCAAGGACTCATTAAAATTCCGAGAAGTGAATATTCCCATAGAGTTTAATGACACCGTTGATCTGAACTTTAAGGGTTTAAATTTTGCAAGTTTTTTACTTTTACTGGCGGATGAAATTAGAAAGAGAATGACATCTCCAACTGTAAGCAGATGATCTACTATAAGATTTCATGCCTTTTCTATTGATTCATATATGTCACCTTCAGTGGAGAAGTCCTAAGGGTGTCCTCACTTCTGGAGAATACCAACAGTGTTCTATCAGAACTCTATGTTTGAAAATGATTTATTTGAATTGATTATTGAGCCAAACAGTGTTGTTTATGCGTGTGACGGTTCAGAAGCCACAAAAAACCGGGCAAAGGTGTTGTCTAATGAGATAGATCCTGGCCTCTTTAATTTTGGTCTCTTCACTACATTTTATATTTCAAACACTTACTGGAAAGTCCACACTACAAGGTAATAATGTGATAAATTTTACCCTTATCTAATTATTTGCTTTATGGAGGAACTGAAACCTTTACCCTCATATTGTTTGGCCAACTAATAGTTGGTTGGACTAATAAGAACCATTTCTGAAATAAAGACCAAGTAATTGCTTGTCAGTGCAATTTTAACCTGAGTATCTCTTTGTAGGTAGATGGGGGGATAAGACATTGAACATGTATTAGTTAGTCCCGAGATTATTTATCCCACCATTTATGATAACTAATCCCATGGGATCACTTTGTCCCATCCCCGATACCAAACAACCCCTTAGGGTAGCAAAACATTCAAGCTTGCGTCTGAATGGTTTTAGCGTTCATGTTAGCATCTCTACTACCGTGGCTTCATAATAAACCTGGTTTTTATCTAGTTTTTGGTAGCTCCAATGTGGATGGATGAAGGATTATGTGGTTACTTAACAAAGGTAGAAGAATTTTTTGTTGAATCGAGTCAACAGACGTGATGAGAATATAAAGTGTAAAGTTAGTTAGCTGTGAACAGTAAAAGTTAGTTAGTTGTGAACAGTAGAGTTAGTTGACATTCAGTTACATTAGAGTCAAGTTGTTGATTAGTTAAATTCTGCCATAGTTTGTTGATTAGTGATTTGTATATATAGATTCACATTGTAATACTTATTTTCTTAATTCACATTCAATGAAAAATATCTTTCCATGTATCTTCTCTCTCGATTTCTTTCTCTCATATCAGTACATTCTCCATTAATGGAGATTGGGAGCTCACAGTGCTGATTTTGTCAAGACGATTTTTGGGCCACCTAGCTACTACTGTTTGAATTTGTTTGCAGCTGGCTTGAACTCTCCTCATATTTTGATCTTCTGTGCTTGTAGAGCATGTTGATAAACAGATAACAGATTGAATTGTATATTAGTGCATCTCTCTCTTTTTTTTCTAACACTTATTCAGGTGATAACTGTCTATATTTGCTGTATGATTGTAGTTCAGCAGATATAGATATCCAATTGGAAGCATCAGTAAGATGGATCTTCGAACATTTCTGAAATGGGTTGCCATTCATCTCGGTTACTCATTCTCGACAAAGATTGTAGCTGCACCACCTACTGCTGAAGTGGAACCTATACGTTCAAATTATAGTCAGGTATTGATTCAGTGTACTGCCTATTTTCAGTTTCTAATGCCTTTTCTAGTCTTGCGTATGATCATGTTTCCTGTTACTAGTATTTTCTTATCCTTCACTAATAAATCACTATGGAGAGTTTTTATTCTGCATTACAATATTTGTGAAACAACTGGATGAAATGGATAAGGGTATGACCTATGATGAGCTTTCAGTGTATGGAAGGTTGTGGAAGATTTTTCGCTGGGGACCTGTCCGTATCAATGTTTAAGATTTGTCCTCTCATTCTGTAAGTCTATGGAAGCAGACTTGCCGTAGGATCATTTCTTCCACAGGTTTCGTAGTCCTTGACAACTTACTGAATCATATTGCAGAATATGTGTTACAAATGGGCACAAAGTTGACGCGTGCAGAGGTGGCTGACAAAGTGAAGTACCTTCTTTAAGTACTATTCCATTCCATCAATAGACGGACAAGGGAGGCTTGCTCAAGTGGTTCGAGTCACTCTGGAGGGTAAGTAGAACACTGTTGATCCTCCTTAAAAAGAGAGAGAGATACATACCCGTACTAAATGCCTGCCTACTCGTTCCCATATCCATGTACCTTAAAGCCAAGTAGTCAGAGCCAGTATAAAGGATTTAGACAGTGTAATGCTATTGTTCTGTGTTCCATACTTTCATTAGAGAAGCATCATCATCATTTACGCCTCAATCCCAAGCAAGTTGATGTCAACTATGTAGGCATTAGAAGTTCTTTATAGTTTCTACATAAGATTGTTTATCAGATAAGGCATATAAAGTTTCTCGTCTTGCAGAGTTGTGTTATTCACCCAAAGACAACAACAGGTTTGATCTGCGGCAGCTTCTGTACAAAATTAGCCAGCCTTATCAACTTTGAAAGATTGATAAGCTTGCTGGTGAATGGTGATAGAGAAATGGGTGTTGTGGCAACTGGCTTGGGCGATTAAAGGGCTCGCGTTTCATTCTAACTTTGATGATTTAGCTCAACGTGCAGCTGAATAGGAGAAACTGGATTTTAAATGCTTTCCAAGAGATCTTCATTTTTACGCACAAGAGATATGAAAATGTTACTTTTTTCTTCTGTTGCTCATTTTGTAAGTGGCCAAATTTGATACAAAACAACTACTAACACAAGATAGAAAAATGAATCAGTTAAACCAAAACTCTTTGACCAATCACCTAAACCAAAGACCAACCAAGTAATTTATTTAACTTTTTATACATTAGCAGTTTTTTTTAAGCATATTTTTACCTATTACAACAAGTTATTTACTTTACCCAATTATGAAAGAAGCAAAATAGTTGAATTAATGGTTAAAAAATAGACTTTAACTATTCAACGATTCATTGTTCTATTTACCTATTTAAACTATCACTATTAATATGCACCTTGACATGGAGTTAGCCGAATATTTATTCCCAATTGACAATTGCCGTATGTTAGTTAAATCAACTTAACATCGAGTGATAATTGAAGTATGAAACTCGCAAAAAAGTGATAGTTTAAAAGTATTTGTTTTACCATTAATTCATATTAGTTTGATTCAAACTTGCATTTTCTTTTTTAAAATGATTATATTAAATACTTTTTTTTTTGTGAATTGCGTTTAACAAATTTTTTAGGCCGTTGCCGCTCTAGATCCTCTTTTCCCTCCATTTTTTCCTCATGTACTGACAGTACCAGTGACAATAATGTACTTTAATTCGTTTTCAGGGGCATTTGAGTAATTTACTAAAGCAAAACAATTTCCTCCTGTTTTCTTATTAAGCAAAAAAACCACCTTCGTAAATTTTGTTCTTCACATTTCGGTCTGGAAAACCTCAAACGACAGCTTTGTGCTTAGTTCAAGGAAACAGCAATGGATGCCGACGAGGTGACAATTTTTTATTTTTTTTGCATGTTTTCATTTTTATGATAAATGTTATTTTTATTTTCTTATATTATGTTGGAGTATAACAGAACGAGTTTAGGATTGAGGTTTGAGGAGTGGTAGTATTAATTAGTTGTAAATTTAGTGATATATTTTTTTGATAATTTTTGTATGTGTTTGTTACTATCTGTTGCTTCATTTACTTTAAATCTTAGTTTTTGCTGTCTTATTTTCTAATAATCGTGTTCTCTACCTCACAAAGGTAGTGTGGTAAGGCACCCAAGGGTGTGTCGTAGTGGTCAATCGAAGTGGTTGAGAAATTTGAGGTCTCAGGTTCAAAACTAGCGGAGACTAAAACACTAGTTGATTTTTTTCCCAATTGTCCTAGCCTTGGTGGACAGAGTTACCTGATACTTATTCCTGGTGGTGGAGGTGGCACAAAAGTTGGCCCGGACACCACAGTCACAAAAAAAAAGAAGGTAGTGTGGTAAGGTCTAAGTTGGGGCGGTGGCAACTATCCCGTGGAATTAGTCGACGTGCATGACAGTTGGTTCGAATACCACGGTCATAAAAAAAATGTAGTGTGGTAAGGTCTAAGTTGGGGCGGTGACAGGTATCCTGTGGAATTAGTCCAAGCGCGTGAAAGTTGGTCCGAATACAACGGTCATAAAAAAAAGGGTAGTGTGGTAAAATCTAAGTTGGGGCGGAACCAAGTAGGGCTGAAGGGGTTTATTCGAATTTATACATGGTTAAAACTATTTTTTATGTATAGATAGTAGATATTGAAATCGCCTTCGATTTCTTCTATTCATAGTTAGAAACTCATTAATGAAAATTTCGGTTGTGCCACTTGATCTAATGCAGTGGTAAGGTGTACGCTCATTTTAACCTCCCCAGGCTCCACTTGTGAGATTGCACCGAGTATGTTATTCTTGTTGTTTCATTTGTTAACATTGTAACCTCCCTAGACTCCACTTGTGAGATTGCACCGAGTATATTATTGTTGTTGTTTCATGTGTTAACGTCGTAACCTCCCCAGAATCCACTTGTGTGATTGCACTGTGTATGTTATCGTTGTTGTTTCATTTGTTAACATCGTAACCTCCCCAGACTCCACTAGTGAGATTGCAATGAGTATATTGGTGTTTTTGTTACATTTGTTAATGTTTTTTTTGGGTTACAGAGATTAATAGCTTTAGAAAAGGCGTATACGGATGTAGTCTTGAACACAGAGAAAGAAGCAGCGACGAGGATTATGGTGTCGGAACAGAAAGCTCAATGTTTTCAAGAGGAGCTCCAAGTGGTGAAAGAAAAGGGGCTAATGACGCTGATGAAGCTCAAAGAGATGATGGATTCTAAGGTGAACTCTATTGAACACTAGGCATTTGACCATGAAATTTTTTCACTAACAGCACTGGTGTTCTTTGCTCAAACCAAAATTGACCATGTTGCAAGTGTCTGCTGATCTTAGTCCCACAATCAATTTGAAGCCAAAGCCAACTATATCTCACACTTTTCAATACTACAACCAATCCTCGGAATATTGACACTTAAGTTATAAGCATCAAATAATGATTTTAAGCTAACACACACTCTGTGCTCTCCAACTATCAAACATAATCTTATCTTTATTTCAAAATTACGTTAGGAAAATTTAACCTCTATGAATTTTTTCCTTTCCATTTTGTTGTGAAGACCTGAAAACAAAGACGTCATTGGCATGCAGCCAAAAGATATGGACTGTATGAGTGTCTCATTTTCCTCCACAAGTGCACATGTCCTCCAATGCAACTCCCATTTCCACTTGGTCATCCCACTTTAGAGTTCTTAAGTACATCTTGAATAACTTCTTGCTACCATTCTCTGAGCAAGACACTTTTATCCTTTGTAGTTCTTGTTTGTCTACTAAAGCACATCAACATTCGTCTCACAAATTCACTCTGATAAGTTCTAAATGGGGGCTTGTTCAATTTATCGCTTGATAATTTATTTATTTGAGAGGGAACCCAAATCTTCATACCTTTTGTAACTACCTTGTGAAGGTGTGCAACCATTTTGGCAGCATTTGAGCCTAAAACCTTTCTTGTCAACCTCATTGAAACCTCTTGAACAAAATATGTCCCTAACTTCTCACCCTTAAATCCTATTCTAAGCATTGGTTTGTTTGAATAGCAAACATAGGCCAAAAGCCTAAGTTGGGTGTGTGTCACGACCCAAAGTACACCCTAGACGTGACATGGCATATAAGACCCCGTGAGGTTTATTATGGCATCTTTATTGATTAATACACAAGAGTAGGCTATACTCGCTATAACCCAAAGATTAGGTCCAAGGCCGAGAAAAATCTGAGATGAACACATGAGGTAGATTTGGGTTCATGCTTATTTTTGGAGTATAGTTTAAGTCAGGGCTAACATAAGCAAGTTCGTTGAGAGGCAGTCTTCTGTCTTGTCAAATAATTTTGAAAGGGGGAGTAATTATTTAAAAGTGAGGTGAGTAGACGTTTTTAAATAAGCAACATGGTGACATGCTAAGGACCAAAAAAGTTTCGAAGATAGTCAGCTCTGAATCTGAACTCTATGAATCCTACTTGGGTGATTTGATTGATTCCTAATTCTTCCTCACATAAAAATGTTCTTGCAGTTTCAATAATGTAACGATGCTAAGGCATATAGAATGGAGTAAAAAGATGTTCAAATTTTGGTATCAAAATGTTTTTCTACCTACGGATGAAATTTTTGAAAAAGCTATTTGACTTCATTTTTACCTTTTTAGTGTGTAGAGCGAAGTGTTTGTGTATTGATCAACAAAGATGCAATAATACATGTTTTTATCAAGAGATAGAACAAGACAAATCACTTCAAATAATTTAAAGCGGTTTAGAGCTTTTCAGTGTCAATTTATAAAATGGATGTTAATGAGCTTACATGTGAGCTTGTGGAGGTGAAATGGGCCACTCATGCAGTCCACTTTTGTTCCAGCCGCATGCCAACGATGTCTGAGTTTTCAGATTCTTCACAACAAAATGAAAAGGAAAGCATCCAACAGATGTTAGATTATCCTGACATAGTTTTGGAAACAGATATAAAATATAATTTGATTCTTGTATGTCAGTAGAGCCAATATGTGATATGGATTTGTTACCATCGTGCACGTTGGCATCCTTGTTGTCGTGATACGATTGTACGTTGTGCGGCTCCGTTGCGATATGATGAGTGGCACCGGAGTCGATTTACCAAGGATTGGCAGTGGTATTGATTGGTAGACACTTGCAACATCGCCAATCTTGTTGCATAGAAACATTGAGTAATGACAATAGTGTTATTGTTATTCGAGGACTGAAATAATGGATTTATCAAAAAATAATAAGATAAAACTGAGCCTTTTTTATTTCTATTTTTTAATAAGGAGAGATAAATGCCAGTTCTTCCCATTCTGATTTTACAAAGCTTCTTTGATTCTCAGTTACAAAAGAAACTTTTTTTATTCCCGATTCCCCTCTGGCCAATTATTTAGTAGATGTAACTAATTTTAACTTTTCTCCTTTCTTTATATATCATTCATCTAGAAGACATCTTGCAAACATATTCATTGCCAGTATCCACTATTTATATTTTTTCCATATCTTATTGACAGATTATTGAAGTAGAGTTGACATCGTTGAGTCAACAGAGGAAGATTGAAGAACTTGAAGCTCAACTTGAGGAAGCAGAAGATATTGTAAGTGATCTCAGGGTTGAGTTGAGAGAAGTTCAAGCTGAACTTGAGAAAGTTGCCAGCAAAGAGAAAGAAGAAAAGCAATCACTGGATGTTGATAGTACTGATACTAGAGAACTAACAAAGGACAACACAGTTGTATTGCCTCCAGAATCTCAGGATGATTCAGTGACAACTTCTAACATGGAAGTTGACAGTATGAACCAGAAAACTGAGGGCTACCATTCTTGTCATACAAAGGTTAACCCTGGAAACTGTTCTGTTGCTAGTTCGGATTTAAGTTTGACAGGCAAAGCTCTAGAGTTATACCAAAATGGACATACACAGATAATTCATGCTGCTGAAGGAAACCTGTCAGATAGGGAAATCATTCAAAATGAAACATTTTCTGAACATTCTTTGAAGTTGGAAAACATGCCAACCAATAATTTCTTGACAGATGATTCAACTGTAGCAAGAGGCAATGCTCCAAGTGAAGATCCTTCTGAGATGGTCCAAAGATTGTCCACAGGAAAAGGTGAACAAGGCATAGAGATGGGATATGCAGAAAGTTCTGATAATAAACCGCAGTCTTTTGAGGCTTCTGGTGTTCATTATGCAATAGATGAGCCTGAGGAGTTGATGGGGAAGATGGATCTTTCAGAAGAAGATATTGAAAATGTTTGCAATCAGTTGTTCTTTATAAAAGATCTTTGCAGTCAACTGTTAAAGTCAGAGTCAAGGGTGACTGATGTAAACAATCGGGTCCCTAGCCAACCTCTAAATGATAGAGTGTTTAAGTACACATACCAAAGAAAGAGGAAAAGAGAATTGTTGAGTGTATCTGATGAGAAAGCTTCAATTGCAAAGAGCTCTCAAACAAAAAAAAAGTGTGAAACTAGACAGTCTTTTTGAGACACAGGATGAGTTCAGTGACAGAATCATCTCAGGACAGTTGGCAAATGGCATTAGGTTGCTCAACAGGTTGGTTATTTGCTTATTTATTCCCTTTGATTAGTTGATAATTATGTTGTATACCTATCTCTGTTTATATACTAATTTAACTGGTATACCTTCAATTTGATATATGTAGCAAGTGTTCCCTCACATGAATGTGACGATATGTATAATTTTTGGTATGAGAAGGCAGGCTGGTAGAGCTCGTCCAATTGTTATAATGTGCTTTTTTCCCATCCAAAATGAAACAAGAGAAAGGAGAGGTGTCAAATTTGATGTCTTTTTGGTTATCTAAAAGTTTTAATACATAGAAAACTTGGAAGTTCTGTCTATTTTTAGATCTTTGTGGGGAATTTGCCAGGAGTTCTGAGAATATGTTGCAACTCCATTAAGGTTATCTGCTTTCTGGACTTACTGACTGCCTTCCACAATTTCATCAGTTCCTAGCATTTACAAAGTTTATACTAAGGAGGCATCGTTCTAGTGGGAAAGGCCAAACCTTCTACTCTTAAAAAGGACTATGTTTATAGTTTAGTCGACCAAATTCGGAACTTGTTTATTTTGAGGACTTTATGTCAAGTGAAGTTTCACTAGAAGAACTTTTGGATAATATTGTAGAAGTTTTTTGTGTTTGACCATCTTTCCGAAGTATCTTTTTGCATTGAACTACACAAAATGACATGTAAAGATTCACTTTATAATTAATATGTTTTGAATAGGTAAATTGATTTGATATATGCATTATGAGACTCTAGTTATTCAACTTCTTTGCATTAAAATACAAAAGATAAGTTCACAAAATAGAGAGAGGGAGCATGTTTATGAGACTTTGGTCATAGATGGGTTGTTAACAATGCATGACATTAGTTTTCATCCATATGCTAAGGGTACTTTGTCTTCAAAAAACAAAAAACAGCTTATGGTACTACTCATAAGGAGAAACTATTTTTCAGTTTCTTTGCCAAAACAGAAAAATAAGCACACACTTTTAGTTTCTGAATAGTTTGGTTGAACACGCTAGTAAGCTTCTTCATAGAAAGATGTTATGGAAGTTGGAATATTCCATCAGGATAAATTTTTCGAGAAAGAACATTTAGGAATAATGAATTTATCAACTCTTATGTTGGTTTAATGCTCAGTACTGTTAAGTAATGTTATCATATTGCCCTATTTTTGTTGGTGTGCTGCAAATTTTGATGACTGTTAAGATGTTAACTAGTTTAAGGTTTCTGAAAATATGTTGTTTGTCTCTTGGTTGCTCATATCTTCCCTGTTTGTTCTCTGCAGCTAATGTGTCTGTCTAAGAAGTGCTAGTGAAATTGTGTGTGCCATGTCTTCTGTGCTATAAAATAAGGAATGTCTTCTGTCAGCTATCTCTGAGATCCATCATGTCATTTAGGATGGAGGTTTACGAGTGAGATGCACGATCCAATTGATTGTTTACATGTCCAGCAGGGGCCGTATCTAGCCTTAATGCACCAGATAACTTTTTCCCAGATCATGTATTTGTATCGATAAATCCACTAATTAGTGAACCTAGTTTTTGTTGTATATTAACTTGAGATCACTGTAGGAACTTGTGACTTTGTTATCCAGTAGGTTAACTATTATTATTGTTTTGTTTGGATTTGGATGCTAACCTTGTATATTATGTAGCTTTCAAACTTAATGATGTTCATCTTTCCTCTTTGATCATCCTTTTAGGAGAACATTTGCGTAACTGGTAAAGTTATTTTCATGTGATCAGGAAATCATGGGTTTGAGTTGTGGAAACAGCTTCTTGCATAAATGCAAACTCTGTGTACAACAAATCCTTTTAGTCCGTCCCTTTCTTGGACCTGTGCATAGCGAGGGCTTAATGCACTGATCTGTCCTTTTAGTCATTCTTTTACATATTTAATTGTGAAATGTATCTATTGATTAAGAATGGGACTTTCAAAGATAACTGATGGAATACTTCTGTTGATAAAGAATCACATTTTTGGTAGTTTATTGTGGAATGCCTTTGCTGATTCCTATATTCACAGTATTGATAGTTTATCTCTTCTGATGGTATTATGTCTTTGAAATAACCTTTCACTAACATAATTTTATAACTAAAAGACTTGTAACTAAAAGATTGTGTTAGAGAGGTAAGTACGTCGCCATTTTTTTTATCAAGGGTTTCCTATCGGAGACTTAAAAATGGAATCTTCTTTGGAAGAGAATACAAATTCAAATTGGTTGAGCTCCAAAGTGAGTATTGAATATTAGGCGACAAACTAAAAAATTAAGAGTAATCAAATTTTATCCATAGTGATAAAAGATATTAAGCACAATAGCCTGATTTATTTTTATTAATAAAAGAAAAATTAAATGGTCAAAAGCTAACACATTTAAACTATTATCTTTTCACAAGTTTTATTTCTTACTATCCATTGTTTTATTTATCTATTAAATTATCACTTCCTCTTATATTAGAACACACATCAATGTTGAGTTGATGTTAAGTGAAAAAATATTTGTCCAACTACGCATCTATTTTAATACAAAAAAAAATAATAGTTTAATCTAGTAAATGGAACCATGACAATTGAGGTAAACTCGCAAAAAAAAAAAATTATTTAGATGTATTTTTAACCATTAATTTTAAAAGAAAATAAAAAGTGGTAGTCATAAACCCCTTCCAAGTTGGAAATAAGAGGGCTTTTTTTGGGGCTTTGCAATATTGAAGTCATCTTCTCCATTTCAATCCCAACAACTAAACGTTCGAAGGCAAACGCCGGAAAATGGGAGCAGCAAGCAAGGCAGGGGACTTGATATTTAAGGCCTTCGTCGGAGGGCTCGGTGTCACCACCATTTATCTGACGGCGACATTCTCCGTCAACGTCTACCGTGGTCTCTCTTGGCATAAAGCCCAATCGGTAACCTCCACAATCTCTTATAAGCAGTTAGTGTATGATTGCTAGTTGTTTTTCTGTTTGATGGAAAACCTAATTGTGGGATTTCTAGCTGTGATGCCCTTTACCTTTGAAATGAGAATTTTTATGGGTTTTGTGTATTTTATTTGCGAAGATATCTCGATCCATTTTTAGTATCTCCATTTGATCTTCCGTCATGCTTATTTGATTTCGTTCGTTTATCTGTTACATGGATTATTCATTTGCCTTTAACTTGCTCAGGTTGAACGTGTGATATATGGGTTTGGTTGGGTTGTTGAAAATATGCTTAAACTTAGTGAAGAATTAGACTTGAGTGTAGCTGATACTTTGCCCGAATTACCTACTTTAACACACTCATTCATTCCGATATAATCTGTTTGTCTTACTTTCAGTTTTAGTCTGTTTCAAAAAGAAAATCTATTTCCTTTTTTGCAACTCTTTAGTTCTAACTTCCCAAACTTTGTGCCAAGTCAAAACTAGATAAACAAATTGAAATGGAGTGAGTAGCTCCTAGTATGTCATGAAGAATGTCTTCTAGTACTAATTTGAAAGATTAACGATCATTTTCTTTCTCTTGTAGCAATTGTTTGTCTATTGCTTTTTGTATATTTGCTCCTTTGTATTGACGCAATACATCAATGAGGATTGTTCAGCTCAAGAGTAGTGCCTCATGTTCTGCTGGCTACTGGCCTCTACTTGAAAACCATGCTGTTCAGTGTGCCAGACAGTCAAGTAGGACCGAAGTTCCAGCTGTCACTTAGGCGTTGGAAGAGCCTGTACCTTTCCCCTAAATCTTATCCATATGATTTAGCTCTAATATTTTTGTGTGCTTACACAACAAGTTCTAATTTAATATTTAGTTTGTGTTAACCGTGGTAGATTTATTTGAGATAAACATCAGTCAATTGGTGACTTTTGTCAAAAATTAATATGAAGAAATACCTGTCGTTGTGTCTTTTTAATCATCAAATTGCTGGATGTGGACTTTTAATGAGGTGTTTAGTTACTTAAGGGTAGGAGAAGGGTAAAGGAAGGAGAAATTCATTAGTTTATGTCCCTCCCTCCCATTATTTGGAATAAGTCGAAGGGATAAAGAGATATTTTGTCCATTTAGTCCTTAAAGAGGCTAAAAGAGCGGACTTGGATAGGTATCTAGCAGAACCTTTCACTTGTACTCCTATCTCCTACCCTTCTGCTCTCTTTAAACAGACTGTAAATGAATTGACTTTTCCAAAGTGGAAAAGAATGTGATAAAAAATGAAACTTTTCTGCTGCCAGAGATCACTGATCAGTGGAACTCTTTGCTGACCTATTTCAGAGTTCATCTAACATGCAAGGTGGATGGCTATGTTGCTTGGACCCTCCAAAAATGTTGCCACACCTATATAGGATTCTTCAATAATGCTCTGCTTTTGGAGGATCCGACATGCACTTGTCGACATTTTTAAAGAGTCCAAGCAACATAGGTGGATGGTTATTTTGGTTTTCTTGGAGTCTTTTCAAATGGGTATAATGATTTTAGTTATCAAACTACCAAGTACTGGTGCGCAAAAACTGAGCAACTCAAGCGCTTTCATTTCTTGAGCACTAATGATGTATTCAAGTGCAATTGTTTCTAGTGATCTAATGAGTTCCTGAAAGATGTGTTTGAGCATGGGGCTTCTGATTGAGAACATACTTGAAGAGTTGTTTTGTTCTAAGTTGGCTACTTCACTCATTGTGTATGTGCAACTGCTTTAAGGCTGATGTGTGTAATGAGTCAAGTTAGCAGCTAGACCATCCTTCATGTTTTGTGCTTGCTAGCGTGCTATATTTGCTAATTGGTATGAAATTTGGAACACTATGTCCTTCTAGTTTCAGGCACCTGGCTATGCATCACATATGTTCCCTAGTCCCTGCACATTTTGTGCGCTTTTTGTTAGTGATCTTCTGTACATATTCTGCCTTTGGCCTATTGAATGCTGACAGTGCACCGTTTCTCCTAGATCATCTTTGCTGAATCTGAATGTTACGTATCATATGGTTCGTTAATTAAATTGTTAGTTCTACAAGAACGCTTTCTGATATATGACCTTTTTCTTCCTGCAAATGTAGAAAAATGAGAAAGATGGATCTGTAGTTCAGCAGGAAGAATGACCCGTCTTCAAGTCCTACCCTTGGTCATCGTGTTGCTAGCTGAGGTCCTGCCAGAAATTTCGGAGTATATCTGAATCTTGTCGCATTATGTAACGACTCTTTCACAGTTTTTCCATAGGATACTTAAAACACAGCAGCACTTCATAATCTTCTCCATCCAACAATCAAATTGGATGGACGGTATGTCATGTTTATTCATTTTCCATTGCTATATTGTTGCTGAAATTCTCCACAACGATATTCGGAGTCCCACAGTTGTATGATTTACCTTCATTATTAATTCTATTTACAAGTAACATACATAGATAGCATGGCAATGGATTTTCCTTTTGATTATGCAACCACCCATAAAAGGCAAGTTCATTTTGTGGTACTAAAGATATCACAACACATCATATGTCATACAATAACCAAAAGATGAAAAATAATGTAGAAAATAGTAAATTAGGTAATTTCCTTTTATCATATCTTACATGCCCATTTTGTATTGTTTCCCATATGGTTCTTTTGGTGCAATTCTAAAGGAAACTTGTATCCATAAGCAAAAAAGCAAGGCTAACTGCTTTTCCATTGATAGAGAAATGCCCATTGCGTATATATACTCAAATGTGGAATTAGTTACTTGTGTGGTAAAACATCACATTTGAATATTAATTTATTTTTTCTAAATAACTTTACATATTTAACTAATAAATTGAATTAGTATACATAATTTTGTTTTAGTTAAAAATAGTACTAGTACATTGTAAGCAGTTTAGAGAAGTTGTAGTTAGAGAATAATTTTGATTAACCAAATAATGAGGACACAATAGAGTAACATCTTATTTGTTCATGTCAATGTTTCTCTTGTCATGACATTGTCCGGATATCGAGAGTCAATTTTTTAAAATTAAATTTGGACATATAATCTTTAAGTTTTATTTTTATTTTTTGTGATAAGGGAAATTTGCAGTTGCTATCCTTCTTGTGCATACAGGTAAAACCCTTGCTCCTATGCAATAGCTCGCAAACCACACAAGAGAGCTAACCTGAACTAGGCAAATCCAGTGTAACGAGCTCGACCTAAAAAATGAACAAACCTCTTGCTTTTGCTGGCAAGGGGTTTCGAACTTGAGACCTCCAATATGGAAGTCCCAAGACCGTGAATAGTAATTTACATATTTAGAAACTACATAAAAATACTATAAGTCACACAAATTATAAATTTAAAACACATGAATAAATCGCAATCAAAGATTTTCTCGTTTGATTTTCAAAATCTGAATAATGTCATACAAACTAGGATGGACAGGATAATTTTTTTTTTATTGAATGTCCTTTTTGAGATTATGTACATTTCAACAATAATAACATATTCAATATAATCTCATTAATAAAATATGGTTAAGATATGATATTAATGAGGAATTAAAAGACTATTTTCGATAAAATCTTGTTCCGAGACTTTAACAAAACAGGGTTGCGGTATAGATTTGGTAACAACCAAGGGCAATTTCGGTACACTATATTTTATATATAGTAAAGTAAAGAACTTTTCTAATATTGAAAAAGCCAAGCGTTACACAAAGCAAATTTCCGTTATCTTCTCTCTCTAAACCTATCCACCTAAATTCTTCAGATATATTTCTCTGATCAATT